TGGTTGATGAGTTATAGCCGTTCAAAGGTAACCAATCACACTTGCGTTTCTTTTGGTAGCCACTGTAACTGATTTTTTAGGCTAGAGAGTTCGAACTTCAACTCTATTATCTCTTCTTTGAAGCATTCTCAAGCTGTTCTATTTCCTTATTAAGATCCTGAATTTCTTGCTCATATCGGGCATATTCTCATTCTAGTTGATTAATTCATCTTTCATTCTGGTAATTAATTTCTACCTCTGATTACAATGCATCTCGAAGATATAAGTTATTCTCTTTCAGCTTAGCTTTATATTCTTCATATGTTCTTTTCTGCCTTGAGTGAGGTCTGCGGAATGTTATTCTTTTTTTTTGTGATTATAAAAGAGAATGGGAGAACCAGTTATTTATATCAATCCTCAGAAAGTTCAAGACTTAGATTAGGATCTTGTTTTATAGAAACTTTATTACAGACTTGAGGGATATTATCGGACTGCTGAAAAAATGCAAATGGCTTGTAAGAATCTGGATGGGTTTGCTTTAGCTTTTATAAAAATTGGCTTAACAAACAGATCTTACATCAGATTCATAAGCCTCAACTTAAATATATTTCTCAAGCATCTTTTAGTAATATTACTGTACCTATGAAAGTTATTTAAGCTGATTTATGCTATATGCCTTATAATCAAATTGAAAATAAAACCTATAAATTCGCACTTACTTGTGTAAATATTGCTACTCATACTAAATGGACCTATCTTTTAACTAAACGTGACTCTGCTAATGTGATTAAATGATTTAAGAAACTTTTTAAATCTTGAATATGCCCAATTGACTGGTCTAAAGTTAAAGTTTTAATGGTAAATAAAGATGTTAAATTTCAAGGTAATATTATAATATTAATGAATAAACATGATATCCAAATTCAAATAGCTAATTCTAAAGAATCTATGGGTATTACTGAGAGATTTAATCATACACTACAAGAGTAAGCATTCTTTATTCAAGATAGCGTTAAAATGAGATTACCTCCTACTGAATGCTGTTGAGTTTAGGTAAAAGATCTTCCAATTTTTCTCATAGAGTTTGATAATTCTATGACTCAACTTCTGAATATTTCTCCTGCTGAAGCTCGAAAAAAGAGCATGTATTTGCTAAAGCCTCTAAGTCACGAAAAGGACATATTGGGTTTTATGAACCTAGATTATCTTATGATGTCTTAGTTAAATATTTACTTAATTCTGATAAATTAGAAGGTAGAAGAAGACGTGTAACTGATTACAACTGGTCTCTTCAGGTTTATCATATTCGCGAATCTTTAGTGCAAAAAAATTAGCTAGTCTTATACTGGCTAATAGATTATAAAGGTAATGACCCAAAAAGATCTTTTATAAGAGAGGAATTGATAGTTATTCCTGATATTGAGTTGCCTCCCCAATAGGTTTTATCAAATTGATGATAAGAAGTCTTCTGCTTCATTATTGATATTTTCTTAATGAAATAATTTTTAGCTAATATAACTTATATAAATCTATGATGGTATTAAGAATCTCTGGATTTCTTTCATACCAAGATTTATAATTATCTATAATTTGATGATATTTGCGTTCATTAGGAAATATTATTCAGGCTAATTCTACTACATATTGTTCAGGATCTTCTGACTGACGCAATTTCTTAACTCTTTCTTTATAGCATTATATAAATTTTTCATCCTTGGGTTTTCTATAATATAGTTCTGCCTTTACTATATTTATTAATGCTTGCTCAACCTGCTGGAAGGTAGGCTTGACTTCAGATAAAACTTCTTGGATAGCTTGATTTTGATTGCTCATTATATATATATTTATTACTATATTATATAAAGATTTCTTTAATTAAATTATTTCTACCTCTTTTCTTTATGATGCGTTCCAATATTTTTCTTAACTAAACAATTGTATACATTTTAATAATAAATCTTTTTTTGAACTATAATATGAAAGCAGATTACATTTGCAACTATTTTCATAATTCTAGTGAAATTTATGACAGACGTAATACTAGACCTGAAGGTTGTCAATTATACTTTAAAGCTAAGAAGTATCAGCTGTGTTCTGCTTGTAGTAGACCTACAAAGATAGATAAATCTACAGGAATAGATAATAGTTTATGTAGCAATTGTAATAAGAGCAAATATCAGATCTATCATTTAAACAAGTTTTGGGATAAGGCTAGGCAATTAGATTAAATATACTTTTCAGGTAAGACTTAGAGAATCAAGTTATTAAGGCGCTTCATAAACATGTTGTATGAGACTTATCATATATACTTTAAAGGGTTGAGCCAGAAGGGTTCTTCAAATCAAGCACGTTACATGAGATTTAGAGGTATAATTTTTCGTATAACTTAATGGGCTGAGCCAGAAGGGTTCTTCGAATCAGGTACGTTGCATGAGGTCTAACCTCTAACCACTTGAGGTTGGATTTTTTTGACCTTATGTTTGCATAAAGGAAATGACTTTAGAATGGTTTCCTGTATATAAAAAAATAATGGTATATTAGAATAGATTCTATAGCTTCTTAAACTATAAATTGGATAACAGCTAAATCTAACCTCTGATTCGTAAGTCTAACCTTTAACCCAATTTTTTACGCCTAAAGTTAGATTTTTTGACTTTGAGTTTATGTAATGCAAATGGCTTTAGAAAGATTTCCTGCATAGAGTTCTAGACGAGTCGAGTTAACTCACGAGTCAGATAAGCTGAGTTGAGTTTAAAACAAGTCGAGTTTATATTTTTTTAACTTGATGATTTGCGAGTCAAGCCAAATTTAAGTCAAGTTAAATATTTAACTCGACTCGATTTAAACTCAACTTGATTCGAGTTGACTCGAGTTGACTTGAATGATAATGAATCGTTCGACTTGAATGATTTTTTTTATTGTTCAAAAAGAACGATAACGAATCATTCAACTTGAATGATTTTTTCTATTGTTCAAGAAGAACGATGATGAATCATTTGACTTGAACGATTTTTTCTATTATTCAAGAAGAATGATGTCAAATCGTTCAATTTGAATGATTTTTTCTATTGTTCAAGAAGAACGATGATAAATCGTTTAACTTAAACAATTACCTGAATCATTCGACTTGAACAATAAAAAAATCGTTCAAGAAGAACAATAACGAATCATTCTCTCTTTCTCTCTTATCTTTTCATTTTTTTTTATTTTTTTTTTTCAAAATCAAATCAAGTTAAAATCGAGTCAAGTCAAATTGAGTCGAATTTAAAATTTATATAACTCGAATTAAATCAAATTAAAAGATTTTATAAAATAAATTTGACTCAAGACTTGAAAAAAGAGAGTCAAATAAAGTTGATCTTTAAACTCGACTCGACTCGACTCATTCAGAACTCTATTCCTGCATATCAAAAAATAATGATATATTAGAATATATTCTATAGCTTTAAAACTATGAATTTGATAATTGCTAAATCTAACCTCTTCGTGGATAGACTTAGTATATGAATACCAAAGGTTAGACTTAGTGACCTTTGATTTTATTAATGAATCAGTTTTAGAATTAATTCTAGAATAGCATAAATAATAGTATACATAGAAAGTTTGCATAGACTCTACGAGCTTGGCTTTGAATCTTTAGTTCTTGTCAATCTTGCCTCGCCTTAAATTCAAACAGAATGATATATTTTTTTTGATATATTATTTGGGATTAAAATTGGGTTAGAAAGGCTATAGGTTATAAGAGATGAATTTATTCTTGGTATCTAACAGAGTAAATTAATGCTAATTTAATACCAAATATTTAGATAGTGGGAAAAGCTTAAATTTGGGCTAGAGTTTAAAATTCTATAGTGAATTCTTATAGCTAGAAGGCTTTGAAAATAAGATTGGAATTCTTTTTATGGATTTTGACCTCAGAACCCTTATTTTCGTCTTATTTAACTTCTTTTCTAACTATTAATATATAAAATAATCTTTTTTTTTTATAAATATTTTACTTATCTATTTTTTATTTTATTTTTTATAATATAAATTAATTTTAAATTAAAATCAAATGATTTAAATTAAAGATCAACATATAAATTGAGATATAAGTATAATTAATTATGATAATTTAGATTAATATTAAATTAAAATTTAAAGATTTTTAAGCATTACATGTTTATTGTTAAATATAAATGTATATTTATTAAATTAATATTAAAATTATATATTTAATAATTAATTTATATTTATTATAATTAGCTTTAATTTGATTTTTGATTTATTAATTTAATTGAATTATTAATAAATATTTGATATTTAGTATATATTAATAGTTGATTAAAGAATTTATATAATATTAAAGCATTTTTAATAAAAATTATATTTTATATTTTTCAAATATTAGGTTTATATATAATCTTATTTATTATTTATTTTATTTTATTATATTCAACTTTGGTATTTTAAATGATTAAATTCGTATTGACAATATTAAATAAACAATTTATTATGAAAATTTTATTTAAATTAATATAAAAAGAAAATTTGGTTCATTTTAATGATTAGTAAACCAACAATTAACTGTAAAAAAAATAAATATATCAAAATAAGATTAGTTTATGCATAATATGCCCCATAAAATTTGTGCGATTGTGATAATTAAAAGTGCATACAGTTGATAAAAATGGAAAATCATTTGCATAAATGTTTCATCTTGAAAAAGTATTATTGGTAGTATAATATTACTTCTTGTTTATGATATTCTTTATTAATGTATATGTAAGTAGGAAATTTTGATCATTTACGTTTTTTTAAAATAATCCAGATATTTGGAAGGTTAACCGATTGTCCGTTACAATTTTTAAGGCTTTTAAGGGCTTGGTCGAATAAAAAAAAAAGATTGTGATACAATTCGGCGGCTGGACCAAAATGTGCTTCACAAGTCTCAATTTGGCGGGAAACTAATAATTGGTGACATCATCGAATTTTGCACAACAAAGTTATCCACGTTTGCTTTTGGCTCTGTTAATATCGAAATGTCTGGTTTTTCACATAATAACTCAACTCCGCGACCTTCACCACCAAATCTCATCGACCCCTTCGACGACTTACAAACCGTCGAAATTCAACAAACTACTACTAATCAGCCTGTCCCGCTGCAGAGTCTGCAGGCAGCTGTTACACCACCATCTTTTAGACCTGCCTATATTCAACCAGGAAGCCAGAATCGAAGGTCATTAACTTATTCTCAGCTGAACCCTTATTACAACGATTCTATAGACGACGAAGACGAGGAGCAGGAAACGTTTTATTCGGATTCCACTGGGCTCATGCGACAGATTTCTAACATGTCTACTTATTCTGAGGCTAACTTACCTTTAACATCAAATGCTGCTCTTAGTACCTCTCCTACACCATCAATGGGTCCAGATATTTTTATGAGTAACAATACAAAGTCTGAAGCTATTTCTTCTGGAGGAGGCTCAAATAATAACGATGATGTAGGGCGTACAATACACATCAACGATTCTACACGTAACGCACAGCAAAAATTCCTACATAATAGAATTTCTACCGCCAAATATAATTGTGCCACTTTTTTACCAAAATTTTTATATGAGCAGTTTTCGAAATATGCCAATTTATTCTTTTTATTTACAGGTGTGTAGCTCAATTTAATTCCAATTTAATTTGTTTTTAATTTTGTTTTTATTTATTTATTTTCGTTAAATTAATTAAAGTTTATATAATTTAGCTTGTATACAGGTAAAGTCAATTTATTTTGATGGAATATACTCTTTAGCAAAAGCTATACAGATCATTTATTAATTAAATTAAAATAATTCAAAAGTTTACGTATATATAATTAAGTCAATATTACCATATATAATTTTTTCTGGATTTATCAAAAAAATTAATTTATGAAGTATTTTTTTGTGATAATATTTGAATATTTTCAATTAAGAAAAATCGGCAATTTAAAATTTTAATCGTATGCGTATTCTAAAAAAAAAAATGTTTTTTCATATTTGTATTATAGCAAATTAAAGATGTATCTCCAACAAACCAATTTACGACGCTTGGTACTTTGATTGTCGTTTTGACAGCTACTGCATTCAAGGAAGTTATGGAAGATTATGTAAGTTATGGGTATTTTTGTAAATCAATTATGGCCCCATAGTTTTTATTATTTCAATTGTACTTTTCATGAAAAAAAAAATTTGTGCCGATTTTTTGATTTTATTTGCATTTGTTAAGAAACGACATCGTTCTGACGCAGAGGTCAACCAACGCCCTTGTAAGACCTTACAAGGACCTTCATTTACTGTAAAAGAGTGGAACGAAGTAAAAGTTGGAGACATTGTTCGTATAGAAGGAGGAGAATTTTTCCCTGCCGATTTAATTTTGCTCAGTAGTTCCGAACCCGAAGGATTATGTTACATAGAAACAAGCAATTTGGACGGGTTAGTTTAACCTAATATATATATTTTTCATTCAAGGTGCAAACTTAATCCATCTTGATCACAGTATCTTTGTTTCCACGCAAAGTTTCTAGTGTTATTTTTTTTTTTTTGTTAAAAAAAAATATTGCGATGATGATATTTTATTCCTTATATTCCTCAGAAATGACTTATTAATATTTTCTTATAACATATTCCTAAATTTTTTTGTTTTTAGCGAAACCAACTTGAAAATTAAACAAGGATCTAGCGAAACATCAAATTTGATTTCACCTAAAGAAATAAGCCATTTAAACGGTAAGATATCTTTATAACTTCGAATTATTTTATTATTTTGAATAATATAAAACATTTAACTGATATCATTAAATTATAAATCAATAGGTTTTATTAAATCCGAAAATCCAAATAATAGTTTATATACATATGATGGTTTTCTCGTGATGAATGGACCAAATGGTCAAAAGAAAGTCCCTTTAGATCCTACACAGTTATTACTTCGGGTTAGTTTAGTTCAACTACATCATATATTATATATTTTTGAAATATTGTTTTTAAAAAATTTTTCTTTGATCAGGGAGCACAATTAAGGAACACACAATGGATTTATGGCATTGTTATTTTTACTGGTCATGAAACCAAATTGATGAGAAATGCTAGGTACAAAATTTTTAAATGTATTTTTTTTTAATTGAATATCTTATTAATGATGGCTTGTCTCATAATCAGTGCAACTCCCATTAAAAGAACTAGTGTTGAGAAAATGGTTAATATTCAAATTATTTTCTTATTTGGTATTTTGTTGACAATGAGTTTGGCATGTTCTGTTGGAAACTTCGTAAGATCTGTAAGTACTTTTAATTTTATAACTTATAATGATCTTACTTAGTATTCCTAATGGATTTTTTATTTGTTTGATTATTAGGTGAAATATGAAAATGAAATGACATATCTTAGTCTTTTTAGTTCTAATAAGAATCTTTTTAGTCAATTTGGATTCAACATTTTAACTTTTTTGATTTTGTTTAATAATTTAATTCCTATAAGGTTTGATATTTGATATTATATTTTTTACTACATTGTGATATTTAAATTCCGAGATGAAATTTTAATGGTTTAAACTTTTTGTAGTTTAATCGTTACTATGGAAGTTGTAAAATTTCAACAAGCAGCATTAATTAATTCAGACTTGGATATGTATTATGAAAAGACCGATACTCCAGCTTTGTGTAGAACTAGTAGTTTAGTCGAAGAATTGGGACAAGTGCGTTGTTTTATTTAAATTTGTTATAATATTCTTTAATCGGTTTATTAATCAAAAGTATTTCTTATTCTCTAGATTGAATATATTTTTTCTGATAAAACTGGCACACTCACATGCAACGAAATGGAATTTAAGCAATGTTCTATTGCCGGTGTAGCGTATGCGGATGTAGTTGAAGAATCCAAACGTGCTCGAGTGATTGATGGTGTAGAAGTTGGCTTTCACGACTTCAAGAAACTAAGATTGAATTTAAAAGACCATAAAACTGCCAATGTCATTAATGAATTCTTGACCCTTTTAGCGGTGTGTCATACTGTTATACCTGAAAAAAATGAGAAAAATCCTAATGGTGAAAATTCAAAAACATTTATTTAATTGACTTACAGCAAACAATTAATTGTGTTGACAAATTCTTTTTTTTATTTTATTTTATTTTTTTATGAAGATATTATATATCAGGCTTCTTCACCCGACGAAAGTGCTCTCGTAAAAGGCGCTCAGATCCTTGGTTATACATTCACGGTATTTACATAGATTATATATTTAAATTCTGAAAAAAAACAAAAAAAAAATTTTAATCATCTTTTCTCTTTTCAGACACGTCGTCCAAAATCAGTGACAATAGATGTTAATGGGGAAGCACAAGAATATGTAATTTTAAACATTTGTGAATTTAATAGTACACGCAAACGTATGTCAACAATTGTCCGCAGTCCTGACGGAAAGATAAAGTTATATTGTAAAGGAGCAGATACAGTAATTTTAGAACGTTTAAGTGAGAATAATCCTTTTACTGAATCAACCTTACAACATCTTGAAGAATATGCTACCGAAGGTCTTAGAACACTTTGTATAGCTATGCGTGAGGTTTCTGAAGAAGAATACAGAGTTTGGGCTGGTGTTTACGAAAAAGCTTCTACAACTTTAATGAACCGTTCAGAAGAGCTTGATAAAGCTGCCGAAATGATTGAAAAGGATCTTTTTCTTTTAGGTGCAACTGCTATTGAGGACAAATTACAAGATGGTGTACCAGAAACAATTCATACCCTTCAACAAGCCGGCATAAAAATTTGGGTACTTACCGGTGACAGACAAGAAACTGCAATCAATATTGGTCTTAGTTGCAAATTAATTCAAGAAGAAATGTCTTTAATTATTGTTAATGAGGAAAGTCATTGGGAGACGAAAGAATGTTTGGAGAATAAAGTTCAATCGATGAAAGGTCGTGTCAACCCTGAAGCGGAGGTAAAAAACTTCATTGAAATAATTCGAAGTGATTATATGAGATTAAAAAAAATTTTTTTATCTAATTTTAGTTTTTTTTTATATAATACTTTAGCCACTCGCACTCATTATTGATGGTCGCACACTTGAATTTGCGCTTGAAAAAGACCTTGAGAAAACTTTCCTTGAACTTGCAACTATATGTAAAGCTGTGATATGTTGCCGTGTTTCACCACTCCAAAAAGCTCTTGTTGTAAAGCTTGTGAAACGTCACTTGAAAACTATTCTTCTTGCAATTGGCGATGGTGCAAATGACGTTTCCATGATTCAAGCAGCTCATGTTGGTGTTGGCATTAGTGGCCTTGAAGGGATGCAAGCAGCTCGTAGTGCCGATGTTGCCATTAGCCAGTTCAGATTTCTGAAAAAACTTTTGCTGGTGCATGGAGCTTGGAGTTATCAACGATTGAGCAAACTTATTTTATATTCTTTCTATAAAAATATAACGTTATATATGACACAATTTTGGGTAAGTTAACGTTAATGTTTTAATATAGTCATGATCTGATATTCTAATGCATTTAAGATGATTTATAAATATTCGAAAAACGTACGCTTCTCGACAATAGTACACTTTCCGAAATGGATTCTCTGGCCAAGTTATTTACGAATCCTGGACGATTACATATTACAATGTACTCTTCACTGTGTTGCCGCCAATCGTAATTGGAGTATTTGATCAGTACGTTAGTGCAAGGATGTTGGACCGTTATCCACAAATGTACATGCTGGGTCAAAAAAGCGAATTCGTAAGTATAATTAAGTTTTTATTTTAAAAAATATTTCAACTTCTTTTTACCAGACCTTTATTATCATTATGATTTAGTTTAACGTCAAAAATTTCTGGGGGTGGACAGCAAATGCTTTTTATCATTCTTTGGTAAGATTTTGTAATTTCGCTACAATTACATAACATTTATAATATGAACAATTTTTAATAATTGTTTATTTTAGATTTTATATTTTGCATCAATATATATTTTCGGTCAAGACTTAATATTATCAGATGGTAGATTGGCGGGCCATTGGACATGGGGAACAACTTTGTACACGGCAGTTTTAGCAACGGTTTTAGGAAAGGCTGCTTTGATAACAGAGTATGATAATATTTTAATTACGAACAAATTTGTTAATAACAATCATAATTATTAATATCACATTTTGCACAATTATTACAGTTTATGGACAAAGTACACTTATCTTGCGATTCCGGGATCATTTATTTTCTGGCTGGTTTTCATCGTAATATATGGATCAATTGCTCCAAAGATAGGAATTTCGGTAGAATATGAAGGCATAGTTGGAATACTATTTACAAGTCCCGTGTTTTATGCCACTATACTTCTAATACCAACCATTTGTCTCTTAAGAGATTTTGTCTGGAAATAGTAAGTTATATTAATATATATAATTTCAACATCGGGACTTCATTAATTAATTTATCTCCGTTTTTTTTTAATAGTATTAAACGTATGTACAAATCACGTACATATCATACAGTGCAAGAAATTCAAAAATTCAATATTCCCGATTATCGACCTCGTATGGAACAGTTCCAAAAGGCAATACGAAAAGTACGTGCCGTACAAAGGTTACGAAAAAGTCGTGGTTTTGCCTTTTCGCAAAGCGAATCTGGTCAAGAAGCTCAACTCATCAGAATATACGATACCACTTTGGCAAAACCAAAAGGTTAAATTTTATTTATATTTGTTAATATTTATAAACTCGGTTAAAATTATGGTTTTATGGGGGTTTATTATAAAAATTATATATTAATTAGTAGATTTTTTTTTTGAAAAAAAAAATTATTTCAGATTATTGTATAATAATACATGCGTTTTATGTTTAATTGCGTTACATCCTTTCTTATCATCGCCTTGTATTACATTTCCACTTCTTCACTTTCTTTTCTATATACTATATTTTTATTTTATTTTATTATGTAAAGTAGTTTTGGTGAAAATTTATTACTTAATTTATTTATATAAAAGTATTTTTTATAAAAAAAAGACCAAAAAAACCGTTATATTATTCGATCCGCAGTATTAGCCATTGATGAAGTGATACAGTGTCAGTCACAATGACGGGCGACGTGTAAATTGATTGCTAAGCCAGAAATAAACGTATATTTATAAAGCTATTTTGTTTTCAACTTTCTAATATTTAAAATGGAAGAAGATTTGGAATCACTTAAACGAAAAATTAAAGAAAAAGGTGATACTGTCCGAGCTTTGAAAGCACAAAAGGCTGATAAATCTTTTGTGGATGTAGAGGTTGCTGCTTTATTGAAACTTAAAAACCAATTGACTTGTATCACTGGGGAAGACGGTAGCAGCAAGAGTAAAACTAAACTCACGCTAAAAACACCAAAGGTAAGTAAATGTTACAATATAATTTCTTCTTCGGAATTATTATAGGGTCTTTCAAGTCGAACAATTTTTACAATTTTTTTTGAAATCTGATAACAGGGAACGCGTGACTATAATGAAAAAGAAATGGCCATTCGTGAAAAGGTCTTTTCGACTATTATTTCTGTATTTAAAAGACATGGTGGTGTCACTATAGATACTCCAGTATTTGAATTGAAAGAAATTCTTGCTGGAAAATATGGGGAAGAAAGCAAACTCATTTATGATCTTGAAGATCAAGGTGGTGAGAAATGTTCATTAAGATATGATCTGACTGTAAGTTTCTTTGTAATTCTCTGGATTGCATCCTCTTTGATATAATTACTCACGAAAAATTTTATAATCAGTAATTCATTCGATTTTTTATTGAAGGTGCCATTTGCGAGATTTTTGGCTATGAATGGAACGCAATATCAAAATATCAAGCGGTATCAAATTGCTAAAGTTTATCGAAGGGATCAACCAGCCATGACTAAAGGACGCATGCGAGAATTTCATCAATGCGTAATTTTTAATTGTTATTTTTTAATGTTTATTATTTCCCATTGTTTAAAATTCATTTTTTTTTTTTTTTTTTTAAAAAAAAAAAAAAACAGGATTTTGATGTTGCCGGCTCTTACGATCCTATGGTACCTGATTCCGAGGTTATCAAAATTATGTGCGAATGTTTGACCGAACTTGAAATTGGAACATTTATCATAAAGGTAAATTACTCATTTATTCGTTTATTTCTTTTTATTATTATGGTATTGTTAATAATAAATTTTTTTTTTTTAGATTAACCACCGTAAAATTTTGGATGGAATCTTTGAAGTATGTGGTGTACCAGAGGAAAAGATCAGACCCATATCTTCAGCTGTTGATAAATTAGACAAGGTAAATTTAAATTGTAAATACCTTTTTATGTATATCAACTTACAAATGACTAATATATAATGAATTTATTAGACACCTTGGGAAGATGTCAGGAAGGAAATGACAGAGGAGAAAGGTTTAGATCCTATCGTTGCTGATCATATAGGAGAATACGTTAAATTTAAAGGTGGAAAGATTATTAATTGTTTAAGAAATTTCATTACATCCGTGAATTAACAAAATAATTTTTTTTTACAGGTGGTAAAGAATTATTGGAAAGATTGTTCCAAGATCAAAAATTACTCGCTAATGCAAATGCTAAAGCCGGTTTGAATGAAATGATCCTCCTTTTCCAATATTTAGAAGTTTTTGGAGTTCTGGACAAGGTATTTACAAGACAATTATATAGCTTGTTCCTTTCACGATTGATTCAGATCGTTAATAATCTATTATTGATTTCTCCAAAGATTTCATTTGACCTTAGTCTTGCTAGAGGTTTAGATTATTATACGGGAATTATTTACGAAGCCGTCACTGAACTTTCCGGTCCTCCAAGTAAGACAAGAGACTTTTTTTGGCTCCTTTTTTCTAAGAAGCATCAATTTTATACTTAATAATAATACATCATCAATTGTGTAGCGCTCGAGGATGGCACCAAGGTTAAGAGAAAAACAAAGAAAGGCACAGACGAGTTTGATGAAACAACTGTTGGTGTAGGATCTATTGCAGCGGGAGGTCGTTATGATAATCTTGTTGGCATGTTCGCGAATAGTAAAAAAGGCAATATTCCTTGTGTTGGAGTTTCCATTGGTGTAGAACGAGTGTTTTCTATTTTATTACAAAAATATCAACTTGAACAAGTTAAATCAAATGAGGTGGAGGTTTATGTTATAGCAGTGGCTGATGGTTTATTAGAAGATCGTATGAAAATATGTGCCGAGTTATGGAATGCTGGCATAAAGGTTGGTTTGAACAGCCTTTTTTTTTTTTTTTATTTTATTTTATTTTTTTATTTATTCATTTTATTTTATCTTCAGGCTGAATTTATGTATAAAATAAAACCAAAATTACAACCTCAATTTTCGGTGTGTGACCGTGATCAAATTCCATTCGCTGTAATTATCGGAAAAGATGAATTAAATTGCGGTCAAGTTAAAATTAAAGACATGAGATCTAAAGAACAAGGTGGAGGTGCGGGTACTTCTGTAAAAAGAAGTGATATGATCGCGGAATTAAAAAATCGATTAGGAAAATTATAGATTAAAAAGAAAAATAAAAAGAAGATACCAGGTCATCATTGTATATAGGACTTTGGAATATGGCATTAGAAGTAATAAATTCAGTACAAGATTTAAGTCTTTTTTAACTTATCATAGATTTATATAATTTATAATAACAAAAAAATTTCCTTTTCAAAGGAATAATTGACAAAAATGAACAATAAATAAAATAAAATAAAATAATATTCCTTTTGGTGTTAGTACTACTACTACCCTATATTATATATATATAGAAAAGGATTATCAAATCTAAAAAAAAATAAGACTAAGAATTTTACAATTATCTAATTTTCTTTAATGTATGAGTTGTTCCGACGATACGATTGTCCAAAGCGTTGGTCTTGTCGGAAACACGATCCAAAACACTGTTTTGCTTCTTTATTTCTTCCCCAGACGCGACAGCCTAAATGAAACAGGTTTAAAATAAGCTTTTGTTTTTAATCTTGAAGATTTTAGGTAACGTTAACATACCATGGAGTTTAATCTAGTTAAACCGGATGAAAGTGCATCTAAATTTCTATCTAAATGATCTTCAATTTGATTATCTTCATCGTCAGCTTCAAATTGAAATTTACTTCTAGACGATTGTGAGGACTTTCCAGATTGATAACCAGATGGTTGTTGTCCATGCTTCATAGCTTCATTAATCCTTTGTTGTGATTCCCAATTACCGGCTCTCATTTGTTCACGACTAGCTCTTTGCTCATCTTGCATAGCTTGAACGCGTGCCAATTCAGCAGCTTCGCGTTTCTTTTTGTTGAATGGATTGCTTATGTCAAAACCAAACATGGAACCATTAACCTAAATATTAGAATCAATTAGTATATGAAAATCTTTTTCGTGTTCAACTTTTAACTAACTTTTTTAAGTTTAGCTGCTTGGTCTGCTGCGCGCTCAGCATGTGCATCAGCAAGATCCAATTGTCGTTCAGTATAATTGATACGTTCTTAAATATTAAAAAGGAATTGATTTAAATGAACTTTTTATTCAACAAAATGTCTAAAACATAACATAATTTAATCATTATACTTACGACTTTGTTCACCAAGCTTGTTTAGAGTGCTTTGCGCTGATTTCTCAGCTTGTTCGATCATCTGTAAAGATTTCAAAGTCGAATTTAAAGATTCTTGCTTAACGCCGTGAATCTGAGACTTGATTTCTTCAACATCTTCCTCGTTCTCTTGTTGTTGACCATATGGTGCACCATAACCATAAGGTTGTTGTTGTTGATTACTATAAGGCGGTGGTGGATACCCTGAAGGTGGTGGTTGTTGGTAACCACCATAAGGAGGTGCTCCACCACCTTGATTATTAGAAGCACCTTGAAAAAGTTCCTTTCTAGAATTATCGTTTCCTTCTTTACGGTAACGGCGGTAATCGTCCATGTTTTGGTATGATTTCCAAAAAGTACAATTTTGTGTGAAAATTTAAAGATACCAAGTTTATATATAATCTTGATTCTCTGCTGGATTTAGCAACCACCAACCAATTGTGGCGTTTAAATCATTCCTAAACATGGAAACGTCGGAGTTACAACGACAGTCGCAATGTATTGTAGCATGAGCCACATAAAAAAATTATCACGCATGAAACAATACATTTTGCGCATTGATAATTTGTTGTCACGCGGTGTGACATGAAATTAATATTTACTTGTACCTAATTTAAACTAGTTCTTTATATAGTTAGTAAATTATTTTCATGGGATGTGAATAATAATCATCATTTGTAAAAGATATATGTTTTTAACAAGTCGGCCGTAGTTCAATATAGGCTGGTTTTTTTTTTTAGTATAAAGAAACCCATCTGAATGACCAAACAATCTTCACTTTTTCACTTTCCCACAGTAAATCTCTTTCTTACCGTTATACTTTTCCCCTAAATCACACAAAAAAAAAAATATTCATCATAAACTATTACCTCACATCATAAAATGGATAGAATTGACATGAGTTTGGATGACATCATTAAGGACAATAAAAAGAAGTCAAAGCAGTCAGCAAAGGGAAATAATGCAAATGGCAACAACGTCAAGACCAATAATGGTAGTAATTTAAATACGAGTAATAAAAGCAGAACAGGACCTATCCGTGCTAGATCAGCGGGTAAAAAGTTGACTCGACAGAAGGCCAGCCCATATCCGGTAAGAATCCAAACAGCTCCGTAAGAGAAACGCTGGGAAATACTAGTTGATCTCAAATGATCGATAAAATGTTCAAAACAAAACAATACAAAAAGAAAAAAATTGCCTTTTTCCAGAAGAATATGGCGAAACTTTTTGTATGGTCTTCGGGTACTTTCCCTGCGGGTTTCTGACTTTTTGGAGATAATAATAATAAAAATAATAATAATACGACATCCCGATTGCGAGACTGATCAATTCCTGTAACGGCTGTTTTGATATCCTGCAACCTTCAACATTTTCAGAAACCTAAAACTCTAAAGACAGGAAATCCGAACGGTGTTTGGCGTCACGACCTTTTTTCCTCTCTTAACTCTGGTGGACAAACTAAGCGACCTGCTCAAACCAACAATAGTCTTTCTATTCAACAACGGTTGGGTACTGGAAAGCCTGCTGTTGGTAATGGGGTTGCAAATCGTTTATCCATCAAAGGAGTTGCCGGTGGTAAACAGACAGAATTCTCCATTAAGGGAGAAGGTGGTCCAGCTTCTATTTATGTAAACAACTTAGCTCCTGGCACAAGTGCTAATGATGTCAAGGTTTGTAGTGGTTCTGGGAAGCTAATCTTTCTAAAAAATTTTTGCGAAATCAATTTATTTATAAATCTATTCTCCTTTGACAATTTCTCTAGACTGCCTTCATGGAATTTGGTGATATTTCGACGGTGAATATCAAAGATGACAAAGTTACTCGTGGGGCTGTTAGTGCCGAATTGACTTTTGCAAGCAAGGCTTCTGCGCTTGCTGCCATAAACAAATATAATACAGCTCTTGTTGATGGTATAATGCTGTTTTATATATTACATTAATATTTATATCTTTTAAATGTAAGAGAGCTAATAGAGAGATATGTTCGGCGTTTATCTTTTATTTATAATAATCTATTTTATTAGGTCGAGTCTTAAAGGTTCAATTGAAACAAGCCGGTTCCAACAATAACGTTGGTGCTGCATCATACCGGCTCAAAAATAAGCCTAACAAGGCTCAATATTCTTCACCTACACAGTAAGTATTCAAATCTTTTGATAAATCATTATTTAATTAACTCTTTCAATTAAATTAAAATTTTTTTTTTTATTCCAAAAAAAAAAAAAAGAAGTGGAAAACTCTATTCTGATCATTTAGTATCTGGAAATTCAGCTGGTCAAAAAAATCGACGTATTTCTGGAAAAGGAAAACAACCGTCATTCACTTCTGCTTCTTACTAATCTCGATTTACATTCTCGTTGTCGACAACTTTACATTTGACGATTTTCTTTCAAAGTGGGAAAGTATAGAAAATCGTTAAATTAAAAAAAAAAAATCCATAATTCGCTGGTTTGTGGATGGATATGCCCTAAACCTGGCGGCTTCCCTATTTTTTTTTTTTTTTTTTTTGCTTTTCTCTATTTCTATTCATTTCAAATTTTTTTTTTTTTTTTCGAAATTTATCTTATGTATTTTTTTATATCAATATTAGCTTTTTTTGCTTACAGGTATATTTAGAATAAAGCCAAGTCGCAATGATATATAACATTATCCCTTTTTTTATTCAAAGAGAAATTTATCATCCAATTACAACCTTGATATTTATTTAGAACCAAAAACTCACACTAAAACTTATGGTCAATGACCGTACATAATGCCACCATCCTGGCTTTTTTTTTTATGATTTTATTTTTTGAGATGTAATTTAAGAGTTGAAAGAATCAGCAAAAAAGGAGATAATAATATAATATAATATTAATAATATAATATTAATAAATATTAATTTTAACTCACTGGAATATACAACAAATCTCCTGGTTCCAGAACGCATTCCAAATAATTAGCAGAAGCAAAAAGTGGGAAACGTTCTAAATCTGGAGTTTCAATATTAACCTTTATTGAATGACAGATATTGCAGAATTACTAAGATAGAAAACATTATAAACACGAAAAAAAAAAAAAAAGACAAACCTGACTGGTATTTCCTAAAAAACTACCTTGTTCAAAAGGATATACTTTAGAAGTTTCAAAAGGCGCATATAATCTAATATATTTCTGTCCAACTACTTGAGCCAGAAGATTATTATATGGATCAGTATGCATGGGAGAAATCGTTCCTCGGGGACCAAACCATGCATTTATAATGACGTCTGGAGGAGGATTGTATTGAATGTTATTTGATGATACAAGATAAGGTTTAGTATCAACAAAGCAATAGTCAGGAATTGATATATCTTCTTTAAGGCGTGGAATCTGTGCGAACAAATCATGTTGAGCTAGATAAGCAATTCCCTCATCCTTAATTGGGTTTTTGACCCGATTCTCCACAAATTCTTCAAATTTCATCAATTTCTGTGACCATGAGTCATCCGTATATTTTGCACCAATTTCAACCGGAACGATCCTTCCTTTTCCTGTAACGCTCAAAAGATAATCAAGATCCGCCCAAGGGTTGGTTGAAAGTGCTGGCCAGTGTGAAATACAAAAGGTAAGTATAAAAGGTGTGGGATTCGGTGTGTTAATATGTGAAGCAAATGCAACTAGACTAGGAGATGACATTTTTGATATGGGAAATCTTATAATTGGCATATTTTCAACTTTATTTTCTAACTTTACGCGTTTCTCAAACTTTTCAACATCTTTATCAATTTGACGTTTCATCGGAAATTCAGCTAAAGTAATAAAATCTTTTTCATATTCAATGTCCTTCATGATCTTTTCCACTTCCCCAATTAGATTGAAAATCATTTCTTTTCTATCAATTCCGGGTGCCCCCGTCATAATCAATGCCATGTCTAAAGTTTTAATGATTTGTTTCCATGATTCTATTTCGTTCTCCTTTTTCAATGTTACGAAAATTTCACATAAGCTTTTTATGAGACTCGCATCAGTATATAAACGTCTCCAACAAAGAGGTACATCCTTGTATGGATACGAGTGTAATTTTTCAGTAGCATAATCAACAAGTGCTGTTGCTTTCAGTAATACCGATAACATCCCGTCAGAATTGACCTGACAAACTGTATTTAAACACTCCTGAAGCAAGTAAAGGGAGGATTTATCACAATTAGTAAGAACTAGAAATGGTTTATTTGGAGATAAAGTTAGTTTTTTGACCTGTCCGCTTGAAAAATTTTTGCGTAATCTTTTTTTTTTTTTTTACCATTATCAGAGTTTTTTAATCTTTCAACAAGTGCTTCACAAGTCTTTCTAATTGACGCTCTTGACATTATTATTAATAAAAGATGATGATAAAAAAATTAAAAAAAAAAAATTTGATTTGATTATAAACGGACCTTATACCGGTTTTAAATTCCGACATTCCCTCCTAGAAAAAAATAAAAGACTACTTTCGTTCCGAATAAGATTGAGGGTATCGTGCCACCAAGCACTCAAAAAGAAAAATAGGTAGTAGGATGATAGTTGAAAATTCTAATTATTGAATGAAAACAATAGCGTCACAAACATGGCGCAGAATCCACATGCTGAAAAGGACAAGACCTAATAGAAACACGGAAACTTCTTTATAAATATATATACTTTCACTTTTTCGTAAAGGAAACTGAATTTGCTGAGAGCTGTGCCATTGATCATTCAACGTTCTTTAATTGCAAAGCATGAAAAAATCTAGGCTTCAAGCAATAGTATTTGTAATCAAAATTCTATGAAATAAAACTTTGTGTTGACAAGTAATTCTTCATGGTAAGACAATCACTCGGAATATTCCTTTGAATTATTTTTTTTTTTTTTTTTTTTACAAGAATGAAGATCCATCTCTTGGCTGGCAATTGTTGGTCACTTTTCTTGGCCAAAAACCTTCAATGACTCGAATCAGAGTTGATTTATAATTTTCAAATTGGACCCTTTGCAATAGAAAGGAAAAATTAAAATTGGATTAATATGACAAAATATGTTCTTTCTGGCTAAAATACATTTTGAATTCAATATTAACTCATTCGATTTTTCCCGGCAGGTTCCCCTTCTCAATGGAAAAGGCCCATATAATTAATGATGAACTTGTGAAAGTATTTAAGTGAACGAGAAAGTTGTGGTAAAAAATCATTGTCAATTTGAAATGTAAAAAGTATTATGATAATATAATCGCAATGACACCAATGCTATTGTAACCTTGGAATCCTTCATCGAATAAACCTCAATACTTTTTTCGTAAAAAGGCTTATTTATTTTTATTTGAAAGATAATAAATATCAACCTCAATTTGACTTAGTATTGTCATTTTATATGGGTATAATTAAATTATAAAGTTAGATTTGGACAAGTGAAAAAGAAGACGGTGTTGTAATGGTGAATGAAAAGGTGTTTAATTACGATTTTATTACATATACTTTTGTTAGGATGTTAATTGAATTATCATTTAGTAAAGCCAATTCGGATAATAAATAAAAATTAATTTTGTTTCATTTAAAGAGCTAATCCTGATTATAAATCTCGCAAAACTATAACTTTAAAAGAATTCAAAGAAATTAGGATGAATTGAGCATTCAAATAAATGACAAGATTAATAATTTATGTGACCCAAATTAAACTTTATTTTATTTTATTTATTTTATTTTATTTTTATAATGCAAAATATAATAATTTTTTTCTTTATTACCAAACTAGCGGGTTTACCCGGGGGTTCACTAATGTGACGTGAAATAGAGTTAATAATTACGATTTAAAAAATTTTTGCATATATAAATATTTTTTTAGAACGAAAATGGTCACGTTCCTGTCTTTTTATTTGATCCCTAAACCCACTAAATTTTAACATACTGTATTAAAAAGTGACCTTCCCAAAGTATCCAACTCTATTTGTTTTGTTTCAACTATCGCA